CTGCCCATGGCAGGGGTGGCACTGGGTGATTTAAGGTTGCTCCAAGCCCCATCCAACCTAAAAGACATTGCCCAACTTCCATTTTTTTTCTACAGCACTTCAGACTCCAATAACTTCACATGAATCACCCAGAGTTCTTTGTTTTTAAAAAGTAACAACAACAAAACAAAGGAAAAAATGAAGAGGCAAGAAACAACAAGCTTTGCTCTGTCCTGTCTCAATGTAAATAAGAAACAAGTCGAATAATTCCAAAGCAAGTCAGGATTTAGGAGACAGTCACAGAAAAAAGTATCTAAACATTTCAACTTACATCAGATAAAAAAAGTATCTAAACATTTCAACTTACATCAGATAAATACACCTTATTGCTTGATTTATCATACACGTCAACTGTAATTTCATAAAATCTGCCTGTTTCCAGGACCCATCTGTCACCTGGATGAACTGTAAATCCTGCAAAACAGGAAATATTGAACAGCACAAACCAACAGCCTCTTTATCTAATGGAGAAAAGCATTTTGCTTCTGGTGCCCACACTCTGCAGATGAACATTCATTATTTTAAACTGCTGACTACAGAGATAAAAGAAAGTACGTAAAACCTATTTCACACTGAGCTACTTTTATGAATAAAATTCCTTTTCTGTGAAAGCTAACGCTGAACGGAAGCGTGGAGATACAGCATGAAAATCACAGAGACAAGGCCAGAACTTGCATGATTCAGCCAGAAGACTGCAGCAATACCAACCCAAATATGCAGGAGCTACCACAAAGACAGTGCTGCTGGGCAGCCGGGACACCCCCTGCATGCGGATACCTGCGGCTCAGTCAAGGAACACATGGCTCAGCACGAGCCAAGATCAGCATTCTCCTGGGACTCCTCAAGCCTCTTTGGCTATTCTAAAGCTAAGTGTGCACTGCAAATAAACGTTCTCCCAACTTCACTGCAGGAGATCGAGCACTTTGGAGAGATCTCACTAGAGAATATAATGACTGCAATGTAAACATTAAATAAAGCCCCATACATTTCTACAGTAACTGAGGGGAACAGACATGATTTAAGTGATCTTTTGCCAACTCAATTTGGTAAAGCATTCCAAGGCATCAGACAGCTGTGCTGAGACTGAATTCACAGCAGTGCTGCTTTCCACAGCTCCTGATTTCCAGACTCTCAATACAAATGAGGATAACTTGATCCTTCTGTGTTGCCAAGGGTGGAAAGCTTGTCTCCTGCCACAGAGTAGTGGCTGGAGAAGCATTCCCAAGGAAGGATACTCTTGTGCACCAGGATGAGCTTGGTTTGGCCCTGCTGCAACGCAGTCACGGTGGATGTTGCCTGGTCCAGCTTGGCAACTGGCTGGGAGGGATCTCCCTTGGGATGGAGGATGTTGTTCTGGAGCTGCAGCTCGTACTGCTCTGATGGCATTGCTATTTCTGAATGTGAAACAAAACATAGGAAACAATAAAAGCAGGTGTGGCAGTGGCTATCTGCTGCTAATTATTGCTGATTCTTTTTTACTGATGCCTAGTGCACAGATTAAATCAATATTTCTAGTGGCTTGTAAAAATAGCACTTCTGTCCTCACATCACACACACACAGAACGAGTTTCTTGGCAAATTTAATGTCTGTGAAACTGCAATTCCCAACTAATATCATCTCGGTATTTCAACCTAACATTCAACTGATTTCCAGCTTCAAAAGAAAAAAAAAGACAAAAGGGAAAAAAGGAGAGAAAACTCAAGGCACTGCATTTTGAAATGGGCATAAAGCCAGATAATCCACATTTATAAAGGCTTCACTTTGTGGAGCAAATCCATTTGCCAATAAAACATTTTCTGTTAGAGAAGTTACTAATCTAAATTTGATTTAAGCAAGAAAGTCAGTCAATTCCTTAGTGACTGTCAGCAACTAAAATGACAGTGTTAGCTCTCATTTTAAGTTACCCCTGTCTCCACATCCTTGACAAATCTGCAAGAGTATATTCTTAAGAGTCACATTTTTTTTGATGGAAAGAACTAAACAGCTCTATCACTGTGTGCCTTAGGAAAACAGTATTAAACATTAACATAGTAGTTCAAATACAATTAAAAAATTCTCAGCTGTTAAAAATTCACACAAAGCATTAAAAAATAAGAAAAAAAGAGAATAGAACAAACCTGTGATCTTCCTTTGCCTCAGTTTCTGAACTCTGTACTGAATTGATGTTCCCACCAGAAGATAAATGTCATATGTTGGATTTAAAAAAATGTTTTCCAAAATAAGCAATCTGATTTCTGCAGGCTCTACATTCTGTTGATAGAGGGGGAAAGAAAAGTAACCACATTAAAAGGAGCTCATTTGTTTGAAACAGACCATGAAGCAGGAACTTAGAATCTGGAAGTGAAAAACATTATTTGCTGCCATTTTATTTTTATTATTTGGCTCTTTAGTTTCATCTTGACTTTTGTCACAACAAAATGCAAGGGACAGTGAATGATACAGAGATCTGCTCTGTGCACACAGTGCAAGAATGAAGAAAAAATTCATGTCGATATGAAGATCATTTTGGAGACTACAGAAAAACAGATGCTCATTCACACATTCAGAAATCTTACCTTATAGATGCTTTCCTGAAGTCTTGCCTTTAATTTACAACTCCCTGTTTTCATTCCAGACACCAGAATGATATCTCCTTGCTTGGAAACTTTTTCCATTTCCAATATATAGGAAGGTGGGATGTAAGTGGATTCTAAGAACTTGACAATACTGAAAGGTGAATCACAAAGTGAACAGAAAATTGTTAACCAACCTTTGTAAACCCACAGGGAAACACCACCAGCATCTACTCCCAGCCACTTCCATTTTTAAGCCGATTTAAGATACTTGCCTGGGACCAGATATCCCAATTTTACTCATTCTTTGAGGTATCTGCAGCTAATTTCTGTGACAGATAAGTTTGTCTGAAGCTTGCTGATGAGCTATCACAAGACTGCACATGTTGTCTACAATTATCCCTCCAGTTTGTTCAGTAGGTGAGACTGCAAAAACTCTCTGTATTGTAGAAGAACTGATGTGCAAGACCCAAAGCTTATGTTGATAAAAGCAATAGCTCAACAAAGCCAGAACGCAACTCTGACCTCCCTCAAGAAGCCAGGACGTATTTAACAAATGACTATGAAAATAGTCTGCAAGCTGAAAACCTGTAGTAACTGTTAGAAATTTCAGTGAAAAGAGCAAAAGACGGGGAAAGAATTTTCCATGAATGGGCAAATGACAGGAAATTTTGGAAAGAGAAGCATGTTTCACAAGGTGTCACCTTCTGCATGCACATGATCTGCTTGGCTTCATGTGCATGTTCAGAGAAAAACCAGTGGAGCCATCTGGAGAACAGTTATGGATATTAACATATTCCTGACAATTTATGATTTATTTTGCAAAGCTGCACCACCTGTAGAACATTTCTATGGTATCACAGTTATGCTAACAGTAGAGTATATATCAGTATTAGTTTGGTTAAAATCACATCAGCAAATAGTTATACTGACAAAAAAAGCTCCATATGTCCTGGTACATCCATATGTCCTGGGATATCCATTCCCACTAAGCCATTCATTCTGGCTCTCACTTGTACCTGCAGCTTCAGGTGTATTATGGGCTTAGCAGGCTTTCCCCAGCCAATGCTGCTTCTCTAAGGCTGCAAAAATTAGTTTGTGTTTGCCCAGGAGCAAAGTCTTGCTGGCTCCCCCCACCCCACCTGCAGCGTATTTGGAGTGTCAGTTTGAGGATGGAAGCTGGCTGTTAACCATTCTGCTCTGTAGGAGAACTGGTTTCCCCACAAGGAATCCTCCTATTTCAACACCAGAGTTAAGTGTCCACTGACACCTGAAACTCTTAAGGCTCAGAGAGCTCCTTTCTGAAATGGAAAGTAACTTTTTTTCCTTCAAAAGTGAAAAATAAAACTCTGCTGAAATCCTGAGATAACATTTTTACTGGTAAATCTTTCTTCTGCATGAGATGATTCAGAAAGATCAACAACTGCATCTGTTTATTTCTAATTATTGCATCAGAGCTACCAGAGCTGCTCACTAACACTATCAGTTAAATTAAACAGAGAACAAAGTGCCCAGGCTGCTGAGTAGGTTAAAAAAACCCAAACTGAAACAACTGACCCTTAACATTATAATTTTAGGCACCAGTTCAGTAAACTGCCCAGATGTGGGGAAGTATTTTTTATGCATCAGACTGAGCCAATTTTTGAGACCAAAGGAAATTACTTTACCGTAGAGTGTTGTGGGAATCTGAGAAGCAATCAGCCTCTGGGTCCTTCACCACTGTCCAGTCAAACACCAACCCTGCCAAAGTGCTGAATGTGTTTCCTACAAACCAAACAACCAGATTAAAATAAAAACAGAGAACGAACATAGAGTCTTCCTGGAACATAAACCAGGACCTATTTCCCCGGGAAATTTCTCTATTTTATCCCTACAAGAAGAACCATGAAGTACCCTTGAATTTGCACAACACCAAGCCACAAATCCAGCACTGCACATAGGACTAAAACAAATTTACTTTTTGTTATTAACATATCACCATATTACCATACTTCACCTGACATTCACAGTTTACAAACACAGGTGGGATGGGCACAGTAACCAAAACAGTTAATTCCACCTTTTACAGCAGCTTGACACATTATTTCCCGTCAGTAGCTGTTCTAAAACTCCCTTGCTTGGAGTGTTGTGTGTGCACAAAACTTGATTGTTGTAAGCGTGGAATTCATATCAGATCATGGCTCTTTTTCTGATGCTACAAAAAGCAGAAGTTTTCTGCTCCTATTAAATAACAATGTATTCACAAATGCACTGACTCTTGTAAGCCTAAATGATGTGTCCCAGAAGTGTTTGTGTAGTAGTTAAACAGATTGAGCAATAGGTGGCTGGTCTCAAACATCACCTCTGAACCTCCTGTCAGATACCTGACTGTTCACAAAAACATCCTTTTGCAAAATTATTTAGACTACTTCAGCTCAAAAGAAAAAAAATAACAGACAACTTCACCATGTATGATCCAGAGAAACTCCTTAAAATTCTCCACTTGGCTTCAAACAATCAGCAGTGTGACAAATAAAGCTAGTGCATGTATCAGACAGTTAGAACTTTCAATATCTATTTAATTTCCTACAAGCAGATCTCTTACCTTCTGAATCCAAAGCATGAATGTTGAGCTCCAGTGGTGAATCCTCAAGGTAGAGCTCTCTCGTTGTGGACACAACTTGAATGCCATGAATTAAATCAACGATGGCATCACAGCGAAGCACTTCTCCAGTCACTTGAAGAGACATCAGAAAGAGCACAAGAAAGCACAACACTGGATGTGCTGATCAAGTACAATGATAAGTCAAAGGTGCACCTTAAATTTTGCCAGTGAGACAAGACACTGCCACTGAGGGAACTGAAACTTGGTCATGACCTCAATGAAGAAATTCATGGTCAAACAGTGGCTCAGAAAGCAAGAAAAACAGTTTCCCTTCATCACTGAACTGCAGAATAAATCTGCAGAAACTCTGATCTCCATTTACACTGACAGGTACAGGTGTTGTCTGGGAGTGCTTATGCAGAGTTGCTACAGTGCTCTCATGTCCCAGAGATGACTTTTACCCACAGACAATAAACGCCCATAAACTCCTTCAGTTAGTGACTGCACGGCATTTAATTGGCCATCTGGCTTTGCCTCTGTGTCACTATAAAAACCAACCAGGTATATTGTATGACAGACACAAAAGCAACTGCCAGCTTTTCAAATACTAAGTATCTGAATTTGCGCTCGTCATTTTTATTAAACACTTTTTTCTATTTCAATCACTCCCTCTATTTGTGGATTTTTTGGGGTGGGGGTTTTAAGAATTACCTTTTTCCTGGTTTTATCATTAAAGTAATTAACACTTATCTGAGGCAAACAGAAGTGAAAACCTTTTACTTTTCAACAGCGATGGAAAGCCTAAAAGACCGTGCACAGGCACCGAAAGGTGCCTGTGCAGCTCCAGATCTCAGCTTTGCTGCCCGAGCACGGCAGGACGGGCACGAGAAGCAGCGTTAGCTCAGACTCACGTGTGTCCTCGGCGGAGATGATGGTGGTGAGGCGCGTGGGCTGCGAGGAGCGCGCCTGGACCAGCGCTCTCCGCGAGCAGAGGCAGCCGGCCGGCCCCAGCGGCTCGATGCTCGCCACCTCCAGCGGCTCGATGCTCGCCACCTCCGGCCGCGTGGACGACCTGCGGGTGGGGAGCGGTCAGCACACGGATCCCAGCAATTCACCTGGCACGTGCTGCGTGCCCAGCAGCTGCCTTGGGCAGAGCGGATGGCAGCAGCTCCTCAAGGACCCCAGCCAAGGCAAGCGTGGGCTGAGGATGGGGAAAGCCCAGGCCAGAGGCAGGGCAGGCAAGCTCACCATTCTCTCCACCACGGAATCAATCAACTTTCCCCGAAACCCATGGAGTAGTCCCAGGGTATTACTTAGTGGAGCCCAGTGTTCCCTTCCAGTGTACCAAAGCCGTCAAGAGAAAACAACAACAAAAGTTGAAGAGTTATTAAAAACCAAGCCTCTTGAAAGTAAATCTGAGCTAGCAGCACTACACATCTGAGGGGTAACTGCAGAGCCAGTGAAGTGCTGCAGCAGCCAAAGCCCTTGCTAGTCACTCTGGCCCTTCAGCCCCGTGCCCGGGCTGTGCCGGGGCCGTCCCAGCCCAGAGCCGGGCAGGGAGGGAGAGAGGCAGAGCCGGGAGCTGCTCGGGAACCCAGCCCGAAACAGCCCCCGCTGTGTGCCCGGGACCCGCTCACAGGGGCCCTTTGAAGGATTAGAACAATGAAAGCAAGCACTGATGGGTGACAAAGCTGCTCGGGAATCGCTTCTCCGGATGGCACAGCTCTGATGAAAACTTCTAGAGCAGACAGCTGCGCTATCTGCTAAATGCAGCCTAAACCAGGCACTGGATTCCCCCCTGGAATTTGGGGAAACTGGATGGCTTGGACATTTTTTCTGGAAGATGTACAAAAATGCCTACCTGGGATGTGTGGGGAAAATTCTCTAACCCAGCAAGGAGGAGGATGGGAGTTCCAAACAAACAGCAATGTCACGTATGACTGAGTTCCCAGACACAGGTTTCACCTCCTTCTCTTAATGGCACAACCAACAAATCCACACCAGCAAAAAGCTCAATTTCTCCTTAACTAAAATCGTATCTATTGAAAAACAACACATCACAGCGCACTGAATTATCTGAGAGTTAACAGCTGCAGCCCAGGTGAGCACGGGCCTCTGCTCGTAGCCACTGCAATAAAACTGCAAACCCCGTTTCGAACCTTAAGCTCCCAACAGGATTTTGCTTACATAAGGAGTAGTTTTAGAGGATTTTGAAACGACAATATCAACTGCTGACCCAGAATTTCAAAGTACTTTATCTAATCAAGGAAAAAACAGCCCACAGCAGTATGCAATGGGCAATTTCAACACTAATTAAAAGCTTAAACCTGAAAATTGTTTGTTTATATCTAGTCTATATACCTAAACAATGTACACAAATATGTGCATATCTTTAATAGGGATTACACTGTTTCTAAAATAATATTATTTTCTGTATTAATAGCACACAGCTTTACTCTAAAAAAATAAAATATATTTGAGAGATTAAAAGTGAGCAATTAGTTATTTTCCTGCTGTTCTGTTGTTCCCAGGCAACCATGAAACACTTTTCCAACATTTAGCAAGTTTCTTTAAACAATATAAGCATTCACAACAAGTAAGGCTTTTCCTGTACTTGCCTCGTTGGCTTTTGAAGCTGAGCATGTGCATGTGACTAGGTCTGCATGCAGGTATTTTTAAATAAGAATTATATGTAAGAAATTGGCTTTTATTTAGCTCTTTACACTGCTTAATACTCTCTGCCATCAGATTTTGTGTTATTAATTTGAGGATTTTGCATTCTTACAGTCTGGTATTGATTGTGTTTACAACACAACAGGGGTTTCACTGTGGTTTGTATTTGTTCTTTTAATATCTGGCTATGAATTGTAATACAAAACCACTGTGGTTTGCACTAATAGCAGTGCTATAAAATGGAATAGAATTACAGGATACTTTTCAGACTAGGAAAACATCAACAAAAATTAAATTTTAACTGCAAACATACACTCTCCAATTTTAAAGGAACTTTCATGCTTTTACAGCTAAAAGCCAGTCACTGCAGTAGAGAAACTGAGATTAGACACTATTTGACTTCTAGCAATAGTTTAAGAGGTAGAATATCAGCTGAATGTCTTTTTTTTAATACAAATTTTACTCCAATGGGCCTTTCTGAGGCTTGGTTTCATATGGATTTATATTTAGAAACAATCTGCTCGAGTAGTGTTTTTTCCAGCAGAACACAGGAAGTATCTGATGGCCCCTCTATCCTTCAGCAATATCAGAAGCACATTCTGCTTACAGCTACCTGGATGCAGGGCCAAGCACAGAGAGGCAAAGGCATTAATCAGCCAGGCTGGGGATTACAGCAGCACTACCCTGGGATCACTGCTGGGTCCTCGATGGGCAAGAAAAAGAATCTTCAGCTTTAAGTGACAAAACCCACAATATGGATCCTCTGCCAACTACAGCAGCTCTTCAGCAGCGTGTCAGTGTGTGTGACATTGAGAGCTGGGCTTGTCAGAAGGCAAAATTAGATCCTGAGAAGCCAGCAATGGGAAGCATTTCTGGCACTTGCTCTGGATCCCAAGCCAGCGCCTGTAAGAAACAGCAAGGCAGGGAGGAAGGACCTCAAGGAAGACTGAGGAGGGAAGGGGAAAAAAGCTCACCAAAGTCCCCAGTTTGTATTTCCCTCAGAGAAAAATCCTACTTGCTGAGGAATGAATGGCACCGGCAAAGAGGCTGCCAGTCCTCTTGTCAGTCTGTGCTTCATTCACCATTTCCATCCCCCTCCAAGGCCTGACACAGAGCCATGTGCCAAGACTGTAGCCACACACCTAGCCAAACCCAGGCCTGCGTTCTTCATTGACTGTTCTGGAACACCACATGTCAATCAATACCCCATTAGATTATACTTCATTTATTTATCAGTTGGTTCAAGATCAGGCATTTATTGCTGTTTCTCTCCCTGGCAATTCTCTGTTGATTCTTATTGCTCCAGTGTTTTATACTGTTCTGTCAGCTCTTCAGACTAAACTCAGCTGACTGAGTCAGCAAAAATCCACCTCTGTGGAGCTGCACTATGACTGTCAGTTGATCTGATCTTTTAGAATTTTATTGGGCATTGGGGCCGATAGGCAGTCAGTGGGAAACTGAGCAGTGGAAGTCTCCAAGAGTTTGGGAAGATTGGACTGACCAATGCACTGGGGACATTATATAGCCACTCTTGGGACTACAAAGAGAGCAAAAGTCTAGAACATTTATTTCATGCATGTTCAGCAATGAAATATTGCCCAAAATCAACAAGTCCCTAGTCCTTCTGTCTGCCTTAGCAGGCCAGTGATGCTCAGACTGAGAAAAAGCTTTTTCCAACAGTAAACTTGCACTGATACTCAAACAGCAGCTAAGAGAAACACATTATTTCTTGTGCCTCCTGGGCTCTGTCAGAACACTTCTGCCACAGACTCGCACCCCCTGCTCTGGTTCTGAGCCAACACTCTCAGGTAACACACACACCTGAGCCACAGCAGCGCTGCCCCTCTCACTTTACCACCCAGCACACCTCAAACCAATCCTGAGCTCCTGCTGGCACTTCCAAGAGCTTGAAGCCCTGCTGGGAAAGCACAGCCAGGTGAGTCAGGGAGGGGGAGAACAAACATTATTTAAGACGTCACTTCACAATATGGAAGTTAACAATAGCTCACACAAAACATTTTTTATGACAGTCAGACAGGTTTTTTAGACCTGTGGTAAAACAGGTGATCCAGGAAGCAACACAACTCCCACATTACCAGGGATGAAATTATTGGTCTTAGAGCAAAGCAACAGATCTCAATGAACAACACTACTGATATAGATTTTTAAAAGCACACAAGCCAGCACACGGAGAAGTAAGATCCATCTACAACAACAACACAACAAGGTAAGGAGCTGGAAAATGAGCTTTGCCAGCCAACTACTGTGACAGCAGCACTGTGCAGTGGGCTTGGGCTCTCTGGAAGTACCTGTGCATCCCACAGCTCCAACACCACTCAGCCACTGCATCTCTCCCTTTACTGTTGTGCCACCAGCTCCTCTCCCATGGCAATTATCTCATTACAACTCCTTCAGTGAGGGCTTCAGTAGCACACACAAACCTTTCATTAAGGTGGCAATAAACTCCTCTTCATTTCCACCAGCCCTCACCATGTATCTCAATTCTACACTCCATGAAATAATTAAATATGTCAACATATTTGTACACTGCAGATAATTTCTGCTACAAATACCCAGCCATGGAGCATACCTTCGGGGGAAATTTTTTTTTTTTGTGTGTGCGTTCCCATGCTCCCCCAAAAAATGTTATTATGGTATGGCAGGTTTCAAGGAGAAAATTCTGCTTTTGAATGCTTTCATTCTTTCAGGTGTAATTTATGGATTAAGGTGGTTAAAAGACAAATACAGACGCAATATTGACAAATATTGCAATATTAACAAATACAGATGCTAACTATATCTGCACAGACTGTATTTTATGCCTGAAAACGGTGCCACGTACAATATTAACAGATGGAAACACCGTGTGCTTTGAAAACAAAGCTTTTTCCAAAAAATAATTTTAATATAAAGGCAACCCAAACTCCAGAAGGCATGAGCATTTTGAAATCCAGAAAATACTTTAGAGCCATGCTTGTAACTTTACCATTACTCCCAGTCTGTTGGGGTGGTGACAGAACTTGACCTTTTCCCTCTCTATCAGTGCAATTCTCAGACACCACTACAATCACTTTTAAAATATCCTACTTTCAGAGGTAAACTTGAAGGCTGAAAAGGAAACTGGGGAAAAGTAAGGTCACAACATGCTATAGACTGATCTTTCAGGAAATTGGACACTTGCCTTTGAATTCTGAATGCTTCAGATGAGTAATGCAGACCTTCAAAAGGTGTCAAGCAGCTATCAGATGCTGCTGTACAACCAGAACAGCTCCCATAGGCCACCTCTAACCCCACAATCTTCCATATCCCAAACCTCCAGTCCCCTCTCCAGACACAGAGGGCCTGAATCTGACCATTTCCATTCAAATCCCTGCTTTCATGCATGCAAACACACCTAGCATTTCCCAAATGTGAGGAAGTCACTCCATCCCAAGCCATTGCATTTGGTACTTCCTAGCTTGTTCAGTTCGACAGCCCCTGTGCAGTAACAGCTCCTTCAGACAGGAAGCACAGGTGTCAGCAAGTGGCTGTGCTGCTGCTCCTCCAGACACAATTCCTTCTGTCCCCCACAGCTCCAGGCCTGTGGGGACAAGGATGCAGAGGGAGAGAGCCCCAGATGCAACTGCTGCATCTGCTCAGGCACACACACGGCTCCTGCTTCCTCCGGAGGGTTTGCCGAACACACGTCGAGTTTCACAACCCACATCCTGCCAGGCCTTGCAAAGCAGAAGTGAATAAACGCTCATTCTACAAGCCACAGAAGATGACAGCACACAGAAGGTGAATTAGGTGTAATTTCCTTAATTCTCAGCCAACATTCATCTCTGAAGGGCAGAGAGCGAGGATGGAAAAGGATGTTGAGGCCCGTTTGCATGAGGGATATGAGCCATTGTATACTGGCAAACAGCACCAATGGAACATGCTCTGAAGTGCACAAAAATCACTTCCATTAGAGATATGAATATGGATCAAATATGGCATTTCTCTGGAGAACAATCTTACATCTTTTCATTTGCAGACTTCAGTGAGATTAGCAAAGATCTCCATGCTTCTGACAGTGGGATAGCACCTGCCATGTGCAGGAATGGCTGCAGCCAGCCCAGCATCATCTCACAGCTCAGTGGCAAGCAGGAAAGGGAGTCTATACTGCCAGATTTTACTTGTGCTTTGATGAGTTTTGGGGTTTAGCTTTATGCAATATACTTTACCTCACAAACCAAACCCTTTTAAAGACTCAGCAGCCTTCAAAAATTTGAGTAAGGAAAGAGAAAAAACGCACACTTATGAGATTTTCACTAAAGCAGTCCATTAAAAATAAATTACATGACCACAAGCATCTCATCTAATAACTTTCATTTAGTTGACTTCTGGGTAAAATTAATTACTGCTCTTCTGCACAAGCATCCTCAAATATACAAACTGTAACAGACCAAAGGGCTGTTCCCAGCCCAGAGATGAGAAATGTACAACAACCAAGCAAAGAAATGAAGAGAATGAAAATATAGACTTTAAGATGTATTTCACTAACTGCCACACACAAAAAAACTGAAAACTGCTACACACATCCATCTGGCACATAAGGAAGTATCGTCCTAAACATACCTCAACTGCTACTTCTTTTTCAGGTGGGTACCTCCTGCTCATTACTGATTAAGTTACCACTCTAGAGCTCCACAGAAACGCAGGAAGGGGGCTCCCAGGCAGGAGTTCCTGGAGTACATCCCACGTGCTCAACACTGAGAAAACTGGGACAGCTTTCACTTTTGAAACTCCACTTCACTGTTCCCAGGTGGAGTCTTAAGGGTGCTGTTACCTACACCTGCAGCAGTGGTGAAAGGCTCCCGACTTAGCTATGACTCCTTTATGTCCACAGCCTGAGCTCAAAGCTGGCAGGACCTTCATTACTGAGCACAGCAAGAGAAGGGGTATTTCATTACCAAGCACAGCAAGAGAAGGGGTATTTCACGATTAAGCACAGTGAGAGAAGGGGTATTTCATTACTGAGCACAGCAAGAGAAGGGGTATTTCATGACTGAGCACAGCAAGGGAAGGGGTATTTCCACAGCAGCAGCACTTTGGGCGCTGTCCCCGCACACCTGGGACTGTGGCCATGTGTGTGGTGGCACTGCGGGAGTGCGGGGCGGCAGGGTGAGCAGTGCGGGTGTGGAGGCACAGTGGGCACGGTACCTGGAGCAGCAGGGGCAGTGTGTGTGTGGGGTACAGAGAGCAGCAGCTGGGTGTGTGAGGTACAGAGAGAGGCAGGTGAATATGTGTGGGTGTGTGGGTGGGTGCACAGCAGTGAGAGGCACATGTCGCGCACGGAGCCATGGCGGGAAGCTTCCTTTACAAGCAGGCACCTCCTGCTCAGGGCCCGGCCTGCAGACACTGCCCCACTCCAGCGGGTTGAACCCCTGCTGCAGACAACAAACAACCTTTCCCCTTCGGGGTGATCTCCATGCCTGCTCCCGCACTGCTGGGCCGCCCAAACCCGCCGGCAGCGAGGTGGGAGCGGTGGGAGAGGGCCCGGCTGCCTGGGAGCCGTCAGGCCCCGCCGCGGGCCGGGAGCCGCCGCAGGTGCCGGCGGGGGAGAACGGACAAGGGCGGCGACACCTGCACTCACCAAAGGTAGCAACCCTCGCTGGCCTCCAGCGTGAAGTTGACGCGGGCGCCGCGGGTGAAAGGGAGCAGCACCTTGGGGGTGTTGAGCTTGGAGGAGGCGGCGAGGTGCAGGAGGAGGAGGAGGAGAAGCAGCGCCCCGGGCGCGCGGGGAGCCATGCTGCCGCCGGCGTGGCCGTGCAGGGCGCGAAAGAGCGGCGGGAGCGGCGGGGCTGGGCAGGATGGTTGGGGGGCTGGGCACGGTCTCCCCCGCCCTCCACCCCCGGGGCCGCACCGCCCTCCACCCCCGGGGCCGCGCCGCCCTCCCTCAGGGGAACTCACGCGGTGCCCACGGCCGGGCGCCGGCTGTTTGAAAAATGTCCTTTTCTCCGGGCCTGACCCCAAGTGTCTCGTAGGAGTCGTGCTCCAGAGCCTTCCCCTTCCCCGGCCAGGCTCCAGCACCTCAATGTCTGTTATGTCGCGGTTTCAAAGCTGAACACAGGGCTCGAAGCGTGGCTTCAGCTGAGCCCAGCACGGAGGGACGGTCACTGCCCTGGTCCTGCTGCCGCAGCAGTGCTGGAACAAGCCAGGTGCCATTGGCCTTCCTGGCCCCCTTCCTGTTCCCCGGACACACTGGTGCTAGCAGCTACACTGAGAAACTGTTCATTCATTACCACAGCATCTCAGAATGGTTTCCGTCAGAAGGGGCCTTAAATCACCGACTCCCGTCCCCGCCCTGGGCACCTTCCACTGTCCCAGGCTGCTCCCAGCCCCAGTGTCCACACTGGCCTTGGGCACTGCCAGGGATCCAGGGGCAGCCACAGCTGCTCTGGGCACCTGTGCCAGGGCCTCTCCACCCTCACAGGGAGGAATTTCTTCTTAACATCTAATCTCAAACCCCTCTCTTTCAGTTTGAAGCCAC